TGTATTTATGCTTTGTTTGTTTGTTTTTTAGATTCCACATATGAGCGATCTCATATGGTACTTTTCTTTCTCTTTGTGGCTTACTTCACTTAGAATGACATTCTCCAGGAGCATCCATGTTGCTGCAAATGGCGTTATGTTGTCAGTTTTTATAGCTGAGTAGTATTCCATTGTATAAATATATCACATCCTCTTTATCCAGTCATCTGTTGATGGACATTTAGGCTGTTTCCATGTCTTGGCTATTGTAAATAGTGCTGCTATGAACATTGGGGTGCAGGTGTCATTTTGAAGTAGGGTTCCTTCTTGATATATGCCCAGGACATTTGAACTATTTTTAAGTGTGCAGTTCAGCAATGTTCCCCACTCTCCTTCTTCAGAACTTTTTCATCATTCTCATCTGAAACTCTGTATCCATTAAACAGTAACTCCCCTTTCCCCCTCCCCCAGCCCCTGGTAACCAGTATTCTACTTTCTGTCTCTGTGATCTCATATAAGTGGAATCATACAATATTTGTTCTTTGTGTTTGGATTCTTTCATTTAGTTTAATGTCTTCAAGGTTAACCCATGCTGTAGCATGTATCAGAATTTCATTCCTTTTTAACGTTGATAATGTTCCATTGTATGTACGCACCATATTTTGTTTATCCATTCATCTGCTGATGGACATTTGGGTTGTTTCTACTGATAGGCTGTTGTGAATAATGCTGCTATAAACATGGGTGTACAAATATCTGTTTGAGTTCCTGCTTTTAATTCCTTTGGGTATATACCTAGAAGTAAAATTGTTAGCTCATGCTAATTCTGTTTAATTTTTGGAGGAATTGCCATACCACTTTCCATAGCAGCTTCTATCTTCTTATTTTTAAAGTATTGCTAAAGCACAGAGAAAGACGAAGATTACATACCAGATGTTCAGTCATTTCTGGGTTATGACATTATGGGTTGAAGATCCTGGCGGTCCTATGGCAATTCTAACAGCAGTGCTGAGCACACAAAGTCTGAGAGGCTTTAGCGGGTGCTGGAGGTAGAACTTCTCGGCATTTCGGGAGTAGCCTGTGGCCATGGTCCCACCCTTGGTTGGTCCTTTGTTAAGGACTGAAATTGGACAGTTTTATTGAAGGAATACATCCAACACTTGATCCATAAACTATAACTACCCCCTAGAAGAGGTAACATATCCCAGTTTTACTGGCCACAATGTAAAGATACTGTTTTCAAAGTTTTAAATTACAAAATCCGTATTGTAGAATGTATGGGAACGAAAGTAGAAAGGAAAAAAGTTCATCACCTGATCCTGTTGTCAGGCGGTAAACAGCAGTTGGGCTTTGGAGTCAGGAGAGTTTGGATCCAAACCCGGGCTCTGACATGGAGTACCCGTGCAATCTGGGAGGAGGTACTGAACCTTTAGGACACACAGTTTCTTCATCTGAAAAACGGGTGTATAATCACAATATCCCCAAACGGGAAACAGCCTGAATGAATGTCCACTGTCTAGACAAATGGTGGTATAGCCATCCAGTGGAAGATATATTCAGCAATACGAAGAAAATGTGCTATGAAATGATGACACTCAAAACCATTATGCAAAGGGAAAGGATTTAGATACAAAAGACCAAGGAATCACATGTTTTATGATTCCATTTGTGAAAAATGTCCAGAAAAGGCAAATTTATAGAAATTGAAAGTAGATCAGTAGTTGCCCAGGACTGGAAGTGGGAATGAGGACTAGCTGCAAATCCGCATGAGGAATCTTACTGGGGGAATAAAAATGTTCCCCAGTTCCTACAGCTGGATTCTGGTGATGATTGCACCTGTCAGTAAAGTTACTAGAAATCACTGAATTGTACACTTGAAATGAATGAATTCTATGATATGTAAAATATACCTCAATAAAGCTCTTAAAAAAAAAAGGATGGGAACTAGTCATCCCACTTGTAATCTGTGCTGAAAAATAAAAGCACTCATGGTAAGGGTTAAAAAAGATAAAATCTCATCCCATAGTTAATGTTTAAATGAGGGCATCTGTAAAATACTCAGCACAGGGTCTGGCACATGTAAACATTCAAGCAGTTGCCTGTTATTATAACAGCTAAACATCAGCCACTGTCAACACTGAAAGGAAATGCAATGAAATGTAATTTGCAATGCACATGTATTTCATACAGGTCAGATCATCTTGTATAAGTCCAATAGCCCACCTTTACTCCATTTATCATATTTTCTGCATTATTTTATGTTTTTCTTAGGTGTTCCATGATAACATAGAGTACACCATATGGCTAAACAATTTAAAGATTTACTGATAGATATTTAGCTTTTCAAATTTTGCTTTATAAATAACTTCAATGAACATCTTTTTCCTTAAGTCTTGAGGTTTTCATATAAATGATTAGAAATACAAATAAAATAGAATGACAGGATCCAAGCATACACACATGGTTAGTGCTGCTGTTGGACGTTGCCAAATTGCTTCCCTGAAAGTTTTTGCCTTTTATTCTGCCCCGACACTGTATGAAATCCTGATTCCACCACCCAGTGGCCTTGAGTGCTATTTTTAAACCTTGGCAATCTGAGAAGTGAAAAGCGATACTGTTTCTTTCACTTGGAGTCTCCGTGGTTGTTTACTAGTGAATTTAAACATTTTCCATGTGTTTATTAGGCAAAATATTATTTCTGTGACTTGTTGGCTCATGATTTTTGTCTTTTGGGATTTCAGTGTTTCTTGTGGAATTGTGTATGTGAATTCTCCTTTAAGGACTGACTCTCCTTTGTTGCATTTTTCTTCCAGATTGCTGTGTTCTCTTTAATGTCATTACTAACAGATTGAAGTTTTAAATGCTCGTAGAATTAACGTCACTTTGTAAAGCAGATTTGTAGAAGATTCAGAGATGGAATGGGGTGGGGGTAGGAACACTGTTCTTTGCCTGCTTTGTAATTTAGCCTCAATATGCAGGTCTGTGAATGCATCTGATCCCCACTCTTCCCTTCATGGTCACAATGTATCCGTCATGGTTCAGTAACCACTTTCTCATCCAGCAAATGATTATCAGCAGTCCTCTGGACCTCAGGATTGACTCAGGATTAAATTGAAATCCAAGAGTTGTGATAACATTGTCCATATATTAAATTTTTCTCAGCGCTCCTAGCACCAGAAGATCAAACCACAGTTTGGTAATATCTCTTTGATCAATAAGCAACTTAATAAAAACTTTATTACTCTCCCTCTAGAACAGCCTAAGAGTGGAGATGTCAGATAATTACTAAGGAATCTGTCAAGTGTATATATTCAGTAGGTGTAAACCCAGAGGGCTGTCTCGCTCATTATGACACATTCATACTTGCTGTGTTGGTTGCTATCATAGGTAAGAATTTCCTACTCCAGATCTATGTTCTCTAAAAATTGAACATTGAGAACCTCTTCCTAAAAATGATTTGTTAATGTGGAGGAAAAATGTTCACTTTTTAGAATCAGTATTAGTAAAGATATTTGAGAATATCCTTAATATGCAGTTATTAGATTAAAAATCATGGAAAAACTAATCTTCAAAGGTGGTACTAGCTGTGTGATTTGGGGAAAATTATTTCTGTATCTGCTTCCTCTTGTATCAAATAGGAAAAATGAAATGTTTGCTCCAGTCCTTTGCCATAGCTATAAATCGTAAATCATTAAGCCTATCATAAATACTCAGCTATGCTGTGATTCCTAGGCCAAGGAAATTAGCAGGTGGAGCAAACGGCTTAATTCCTTCATGATTCCATCTTAGCAGGAGAATGTAGGTGTAGTACTTGTTGTTTGTTGCTCAAAGCACAGTGCCAGATATTTTTACCTTCTTATTAAACCTGTGCAACACGGGTGGTTACTCCCATTTCAAGGATGAGGTAACTGAGGCTTGAAGAAACTATCCTGCTTTTCGTGCAGTGAGTCAGATGCTTCCCTGTGACTCATTTCTGGTGTTTCTTTCATTTAATTAATGTGTAATTTGTTGGACTTGTTATTTAATGGCCTACGTGACATACCCATTTTGATGACTAATGAGCATCTCAAACAAGATGGAAAACAAGCTTCTGACATTGCCCTCCAAACCTGCCCTCTCCACAGTCCTTCCCACTCAGTAAATGATAACCTCATTATTCCAGGTGCTCAAACCAGAAACCTCAAAGTTGTCCTCAACTCCCTCAAACTCCACTCTGATCTTTAACAAACACTGCCAACCCCACCTTCAAAATATATCCAGAATCTGGACCACTTTTTACATTTTCATGCCAGTGTTGTGGCCCAGGCCACCCACAACTCTCATCTGTATTATTAAAATAGCCTCCTAAGTGGTTCATTTTTGCCCTTTTCTTTCTTCAGCCTATTTGCACAGAGCTGCCAGAATGCTACTGCTGAAACGAAGGTCCGATCACGCGGTCTCCCTGTTCAAAACCTGCCAGTGAATTCCTGTGTGACCCAGAGTGAGAGCCGAAGACCCGCAGTGGTCTCACACGACCTGGCCCTCTTCCTGGTCAGCTGTATGAGGACCACACCTTCTACCCCTTCCTCTGTGGCTCACTCCACAACAGCCACACCGGCCTCCACGCTGTGCCCTTGGACAAGGCTGCTCTAACTCCACATCCCATCGTGGCCCCCTCCCTCACTTCCTGCAGGCTTTTATATAAAGCTAGCTTCTCCATGAGGGCATCCTGCACCACCCTGCCTAACATCTCAACCACTCAATCACTCACATCCCCATTCCTGCTTCCTTTGTTTGTTTCACACTTATCACCAATGGACTACATATTGTACTTATTTATCTTGTTTGTCTCCCCTCTCTAGAATCTACTCTCCATGGAGCCGGGGATTTTGGTCTCTTCATTCTCTTGTACTCCCAGTGCCTAACGCATAGTGGGTATACCGTCAATATTTGTTGAATGAGTGAATGAGTTTGTAACAGATACCTGCTTTGCTCCACTCATGATGTCCTCCATCTCACATGAGAGCATCCTTTACAGACACTTAACTTTTCTTCACATGACCATGTGTGCCTTTATCAGGTAGCACAGGACTTCCTCCAAGTTTTCCACACCTCTCTCCAGGCTTTCTTCTAGATCTTCATGACCACTTCTGGGTCACATGACAATCCCTACTTCAGTCACTGGCAGAAAGAAATGGGACCACCACGGCTGTCATTGTTCAATCAGGATTTAACCCCTGTACCTGCGCAGATGGCTGCTGGAATGAAATTGGAGTAACAGGAAGACTGTGGTGATTTTACATAGGAAAATAAGTGCCAGATCCATGAATTGCAGTTTCATGTCTGTGATCACATTTAAGCTTCAACATCCTTATGAGGAAGGATAGGCAAGTACCCTGACCATTTTCACAGAAGAGGAAACAAAGACCCAGAGAGGTTCCCAACATGCCAAGGACATGCAGTAGGTCAGAGGCAGGCTGGGCATGGTCTGCCTGGGTTCTGGGTTCTGCAGAAGCAAGATGGTTTGGAGAGACCCAGAATTTTATTTCACTCCACACAAAAAACTATACGACCTCAAACAGCTGTTTTGATCCCTCAGGGTCTCAGTTTCTTCGTCTATAAAATGGAGATCACATCCCTTTCTTGTTCCAGAACTCTGTGTGGGCTGATTAATCATTAAGGTCTCTTCTTATCTATTAAACTCCAGCTCAGGCAGAGAAACAGGAGTGAGTGATTGGACTTTGAACCTGGCAGAGCCAGAAGAGAAGAATTAGGTTTCTTTGTAATGATGTATTTTTTTAAAAAACCCTTTTGTTCTGAAAATAAATACATATGAGTGAACTTTTTAAACCTGAGTCTGTTCCCAGGGACTCTCCCTTGCATTGCATCTCTAAATGCTTCAAGTTCCGGCTTTGACATTGGAGGAAGCTGTGTTCCTCAGCGGGTTGTCTGGTCCCCATTTAGAGACCAAGTCCCTGAGAATCCGGAGTTGGGATTTTCCTCTGCGGAACTCCTTCATGGGGCCCGTTGCATGGGCCTTTGTAGCCTGATGATGCTTTGCTGGGCCAGGGTCCCGGTGCCTGCCATTGCCAGGCTGCCACCATTCTAAATTCTGCTTCGGGCTTCTCATTCCCGTGCATAATTCCCAATGTGACGCCTGCCCTAGAGATTCAAGTGTTTCTGCAAAAGGAATGGCTTTATGGGAAGAAAATGATTACTTAATAATTTACTGAACATTGTGTTTCAAGTTCTATACCCATATAATGCATTTTCCAATCTTCTAATTTTATAGATCTACATCTTTTCCCTTTCAGCAATGTCAAAATTAATATTTCATAATTCCGTCCTTTTGTATAGAAATTTAAGGTGTTCCACATATTATCTTGTGTGACTTTACAATTAAGAAAAATTATGTAACTTGCACAAAGTTGTTTAGCTGGTTAAGAACAGAGTTGAGACTGGACCCTAGGGCTGCCAGGCTGCCTCAGAAGTGTCACACCCAGTGACACAATTTTCAGACTTCCAAAATTGACATTTATTTGTACCTTCAATCACCCACTGTCAGAATTTTAAGGTTTATCATTTCTGAAAAACATGGATAGGGAATTTTACCTGCAGAAAGCTGCTTCTAAATTTATTACTTAAGCCAGGGATTGGCAAATTTTTTCTGTAAAGGGCTGGATAGTAAATATTTTAGGCTTTGTGGTTCAGATAATTCCCATTGCAACAACTCATCTCTGCCGTTGTAGTGAGAAGGCAGCACAATGTGTAAACAAATCAGCGTGGCTGTGTTTCAATAAAACTTTACGAGAACAGGTGGTAGGCTGCATTTGGCCCATGTGCTATTGTTTGCTGACCTCTGACTGAGGCTGTGGTGCTATTAAGATTATGCACTCTTTTACATGACACTTTAAAAGGCATCAGTAAAATTATTTGTCTCTGATTTTCTTAGTCAAATAGGAAGGTGAAATTTGTTTCACGAAATATTTATCCTGGTACTTCAGAAAAGTCTCTACACATTTACCTCGCCGAAATATTTCACAAACTTGACGAAATGTCACAGGCTCAAAGAATGTTAGCATACAGGGATATCTGAGATAATTCAATCTAAGACCCTCATTGTATAGGTGGGGAAACAAAGGAAGTTTTTCAACTTTTCATCCAAAAGAAGTACAAGTTTGAATTTAGAAGACCAATGATTGATGAGCTAGAGCTTAATGTGTAGTTGAAATATTGATATTTCTTTGCTGAAGCGTAAACTGTATTATATATCTAAAGAACTACACATTTGCAGCAACATAGATGGACCTGGAGATATTCATACTAAGTGAAGTAAGCCAGAAAGAGAAAGAAAAATACCGTATGATGTCACTTATATGTGGAATCTTTAAAAATGACACAAATGAATTATTTACAAAACAGAAACAGACTCACAGACATAGAAAACAAACTTATTGTTACCAGGTGGTAAAGGAGCTGGGGAGGGATAAGTTAGCAGTTTGGGATTTGCAAATATTAACTACTACATATAAAACAGATAAACAACAGGGTCCTACTGTATAGCACAGGGAACTATATTCAATAACTTGTAAGAGCCTATAATGAAAAAGAAAATGAAAAGGAATATGTGTATATATATATATATATATGTATAACCGAATCACTATGATGTACACAAGAAATTCACACAACGTTATAAATCAACTATACTTCAATTGAAAAAAGCTAATAAAAACACAATTATTATATCTTCAAAAAAGAAGCTTATAACATATAAGAAACTGTAAAATATAAATATATAAAATGTATCCTTGTAACTTTCTTTCTTACCTTAGTCACATTACAGAGAGTTTATTGTTCCTATAAGACATTGTAAAGGCTTTAAAAAAATATCAGTCAGAAAACTATAAAAAGCTGCCTTATGTTCCTAGACTTGAACAAATGTCTTTTCAAAATGTTGCTCTTCTGTGTCCTTTCATTACTGGCCGAGACATTCAAAGGCCCCTTGTTTTGACGTCGCCTCCCACAAGATACCAGTGGACCAAGTGTCAAGGTCACAATAGGAAGCAGATGGCACACTCAAATCAGAATCATTTAAAGGAGTAGGGAGTGTTAGGGAATCATGAGAAGTAGGGTTGTCACCCAGAGGTAGGAGCAGGGAAGAGTGGGCTGAGGAGAGCAAACACTGGGAACCTGCTGTCACGAAAAGAGGCTCTTACAGGCAACAGTGGTGCTGTCTCAGACACAACCAGCCTGTGACAGATGGTGTCAGTACCTGACAGCTCAGTACCGAGCTCCTGTCGATGGCTGGGACTCTGTTTCCCAGGATGGTTCCACATTAGAGTTGGCCAAGGAAGGGAACTTACCCAAGATTTGGAAGGTGAACATGAAGGAAAGACCACCACTTTAGGAAGGTCTTATTGGTCAGACCATCTCAAAAGGTATGAGACAGGCAGACTGGTCAGACAGTTGTGTCTGTTCCCGGCAGGCCCCCACTGGACCTCTCTGCTTCCTTCTCCACGCACCGCTCGTGTCCCCACGAGCTCACCCTGCTCACCAGCTCAGCTGCCAGCCCCCAGCCAGGCACTTGGCAGCAACTTCTACAGGCTTCACAACCTCCCTTTGCTGGGTCCCACTTTGACAAGCAGACATGCCAGGCTTCTCAGGCTTTTCTGCAAGCTCTGTGGTGCTAAGGAAGTCCCTGTGTCCGTGCACCTGGCTAAAGTGACTGTGATTATTTGTCTAACCTTTTGATTCTCTTTCCAGACTGTCACATCCCAGCTCCTCCTATGGTCTATGTAAGCAATAACTTCTGTAGGAAGCCTTTTCTTCCCGTCTTATTTGTAGTCATGCTCTTTTTCTGACTCAATTCTGGATATACAGCCTAGGCTACCTTGCAGGGAGGGAGCAGGTGAAAAAGTACTCTGACCCTGCTCCCCTCCCTTCTTCCAGTCTCTTGCCAGAACTCTCTATTCCAGACCTCCTGGTGTGGACCAAGCAGGTCGGCCTCCAGGGCAGAGAGCTTGTGCAGGGGGAAGGAGAGGGGCCTGGAGAGGCAAAGGGGGCATCTCTGGCACAGGCCATAAAAGAGTTATTGTTGGACCAAATTTCCAAGGAAACTTGAGAACTTCTTAGAACTTTAGCTCTAAATATGTAGGAAAAGGTAAGGTTAATGACCTTCTCTGTACCCTCCTTCCATATAAAAAAAAATCTCTAAGTCTTCAAAATGAGCCTCTATGAAAAAGTGAGAAACTGAAAAGCAATGCATTTGCTGGATGGCTCCTTTGTTTTAATGGAAGTGAATTACATTTAAACACGTCTTATAAAAAAGATTCTGCGTAGAATAATGGCCTCTATGAACCACCTGTGCTTTGCCTTTATGGAGGAGGGAGAAAAAAAACTGATCCTGAATTTTTATAAAGAAATTTAAATTAGACACTAAAATAAAAGAAAAAAAAAACTTAGCTACTTGTAACAAGGGCAATTAAAGTAGTGATTCATTCTATGGAGAATGTTAGCAGAGCTGGGTGAGTCTTCATTTCTTTCTATTGGGAACCCTACTGGGAATTAAGGGAACTCTTTAGAGCAACACTGTTCAATAGGCATATGACCCCAGCCACACGTGTAACTTAAAATTCTCTAGAAACCACATTTTAAACAATAAAAATAGGTAACATTAATTTTAATGATGTGTTTTTATTTAACCAATATGTCAAAATACATCAACATGTGATCAATAATACATACTCATTAATGAACTATCTCACATTCTCCTTTTTGTGTTAAGTCTTTAAAATCCAAGATATATTTTACATGTATAGTATACCTCAATTCATATTTCCAGCACTCAATAGCCACATTTGGCCAGTGGCCACTGTATCTGGCAGCACAGCTCTAGAGTATGTCCTAAGTTTGGTTAAGAGTTTGGCTCTCACATAGGGAAATGCAGCACAATATAAAAGAGGAGGGGTTATTATCTGCCTGTGTTTTGCACCAGAGTTTCTAGTTCTCCTTTCCTTTGGGGTGCACGTGAGGATTGCCTTGCCTACCCCGCTGTAATTGAGCAAGGCCAAATGACTTGCTTTGGGCAGTGAAATGAGAGGAGTGATGCATCTCTTCCGGTCAGCAGTATGGAAGAGTCGGTGTGTGCTCCTCCGTGCCCTCTCTTCTCCTGCCATGGTGATTGTGGACACTGGTGTTCATATGGAGGTGCCCTGACATTGAGGCTGCCTGAAATGCTGGGGTGACAGAGGACAGCTGCTCTAATGATTGGGAGGGTGACTTTCCTTCCACTCAGACCCTGCTTCTCTCAAGTGGCCCACTTCCTGATTCTGGTAATGGCTCCTCCCTCTTGCTCTTTCAGCCTAGGGGTGGTAACTGCTCTCTGATGTTGCTCGCCCTGATGTTCTCCTTTTCCTGAGCCTTGCCCACGTCTTTGTAAACTGTCCCTTTCTTAACCTCTCCTCAATTACCCTGTTTGATTGCTCCATCTGTTTCCTGTGGTGATTCTGATTGATACAGTATGCTTTATTAGCCAAACGTGAAATGTGCCTAAGGACAGAATAAAATGAGTACATTCAAGAAGTAATTCCTTGAATGAGTGTAAATCAGTTTTCAAAGTACCAGTCAAGGCTGTTTCCCTTACCAACCACTCTTATTATGGAGAAGATCCTCTTTCTCTTCCTTAAGTACAAATTTGTGCTCACTGCTCTTCATGATTTGTGTTTATGTGTATAGGAAATCTGTTTGCTTGAAATCTGTTTGGTCTTCATTCTTCCTTTAGATGTGTTTGAAGTATTTACTTAACAAACTTATGTTTGACATAGCAACAAATCAAAAATTATTGGAAATTGTGTTTCAAGTTCATCCTCAAATAAGGATTATTTGGGCTCCTACCAAGAAGCCTGAAGTTTGTGAGTTGTTGTGTTACTTGTTCATTACAGAAAGTTCAGAAAGATTCAGAGACTAATAAGCACAAAGAAGGTAAAAATAACTCATCACTCAAAGCTAATCACCACTAGTGTATATAATTCCAAATTTTAAAAAATTGGATTTTATTGTGTGAAAGCAATTTTTTAATTTGTGTTTTTAACTAAAGTTTGGACTTATTTCCATATCAATAAATGTATTTTATACCACTATTCTTTATAGTAATTACATTGTTAATATATCTCTTTCCATTTTATTGGCTCTTTAGATCAATTAGAACTTTTCAATACTCAAATAACACTACGAACTTCTCTGTACTTTTAAGCATCTAACCAAATTTTCTGCAAATAAATTTTTAGAAGTGGGAATGCACAGTTTAGAAAGGTATGCATGATCTAAAAACTTCAGGTAGACTTCCAATATGCCCTCCAGAGAACAAGTTATCATTTTATATGCCTCATAGAAATGTAAGAGATTACTCTCTACTCCCACATGGACACCTTTCCAGCACTGAGTATTACTTCTGATTTTGTCTCTTTGATAGGAAATAAATGGTAATTCATTTTTCATTTGCATTTCTATAATTACAGTGAGAGAAAAAAAATCCCCATATTTCAGACAATTGGATTTTTTCACTCATGCGTTGTCAGTCTTTGCAATTTTCCCATTTTGTTTATTAGTGAATGTTTAGACTTGTAAAACTCTCTAAATGCTAATGTTCAAGTGCTTTTGTGAGGCTAGTTCCTGACATGAACTTTCTTATCATATCCCTACAACTCTATGGCAATAATACAATTTTTGTCATAAATGAAGGAAAAAACTTCAAAGAAAGTGAGTTCATCAGGATGACTTGGTTATTCTAGAAGATGCTCCTGGTGCACTCCGCCCACCCCTTCTCCATCGAGTGCACCATTCTCTAGCAGCTTTGGTTATTGGTAGCTAACAACTCATAGCTGCACCCTTCTCTGGAAAAGTATCCTCAGCTGAAGGGAGCCTGTTCCAAATGTCAGGATGGGCTGCAACCAATGACTGACTGATACAAAAGCTCTGCCCTCGTGCTTTAAGGCTATAAAGCTCCAGGTACCATGTTTGCTCCAGATCTTCCTGTGGGTTTGGGCTGAGGAGACGCTTCACCAGAACCCTCATCTTGGCTTGGATACTTCCCCTATCTTATCCTGCTTCCCTCATTCCTCCAGGTTTCACTGAAGAGGATATCCTCAATAAGTGACTTGTGTAAGAATCTAGGGAACCCCGCCTGAGACAGCCGGGCTGTGGGACATTTCATATTCAAACTTAAGCAATCTTTCTTCAGAACCCGCACATGCTATCAGTAGAGCAAACCACGTCCCAATTCAAGGCACCAGCCTGGACATCATAAAAGTAGCAAATGCT